TGAAGTGGTTATGCCAAGATCATGACTGCTGCTTTTTCTCTATGGAGGGTCTAATCATTGGTTCATAATCAGAAAGGAAAGAGGAGTGGGGAGTGACTTGCCTTGCTGTGCCTGTGTGTTTGTAGAGACACAGCTTATTATCACACACAAAAGGGTGACTCAATGGGACCCTGCCAGGGAAAGGAACCACCCTACAGCAAGATATCAGAGCCAGTGCTCAGGGGACCAGCTGATTCTACAGGCACTAAAACATATACAGGGTTATTCACAAAAGGGTGAAGACAGGAGAAGTGAACAAGCTAGGACAACATAGCTGAACTGGAACGTGAGCTGAATTGAATAATTTTTAATTTTAACCTAGATTGTTAACTTCTCCTGCCTTACCCACACTCTTCACCCTTTTGTGAATAACTCTGTTAAATATTAAGATGCAGCATCCATTGTAAGGGATTTAATTAGCATTTGAGTACAAAAGATGTGGAGCACGTAAAACAATTATTCCAAAAAGCAATAGCATCTGTCCAAAAATACAGTGTTGTTGAAATAATGCCCTGGACTCACTTTTCTATAAATATCTCCCTGCAAATGATAATTTTAAAGTCCAGTTTTTGTAAGTAGCATTAAAGGCTAACGCTAGACAAAACTGTGTTTCCAGTTTTGGTTGGGAACAACTGGTTAAGTCACCCACCCACTTTTTTTATCTCTATACAAAGGCTTTACTTTTGAGATTCCCCTGCATTGATTTGTGCTTTTTGTACCCACTGACAAGGCCATGAACAAGGTGTCACAAATTTATTAGCTGAATTATGCAATTGTTTAAAAAATCAGTTACATAGCGTCTTATTTGTAAGGATGGTTTTAATATGTTAACTTTGGTTGATTTGCATAGGCTATCAATAATGAAGAGGAATTACTGGAATGGGAGAAAAGTCAATTCCCTTTGTTGCAAGTGGCAATAACAAACAAGCTGCCCTTTGAACAACTCTGGTTAACTGCATATAACTTCCACTGTAAATCAGAGGAATGGATGAATGGTAAGTCAGTTGCTTTGTTAATACAGGTTGATCTCTCTTGGTTGCTTAACTACAGGCATAGCAGCCCACGCAGCTGCTATGTGGTCTAGGGGTTGGAGGACATCTGATTAGGGAGAGTATTGAGGCAAAGTTTGCAGTCTATCAAAGTCATCATAATTGTCACTAGTCACAGAGCCCCTTTGCTTTATAATTGTAGCTGGGAGAATTTGCTTATCTATCACAGTGGTGTAGATTTTTTGCCCCAGAGCTGCTACTAGAGCCCAATCACTCTGAAGTGTACCCTATATGCCTAATGCAGTCTTTCTGATGCTGTTAAAAAATCTCAGAGATTCTCCTGCGGTTTGTAGTTCTGCAAAAAACCTGTCTAAAATTTGTAATAGGGTATTAGAGTAATTGCCAACACTGCTGCTACCTGACAAATTATATCCACACTAGTCCCTAGTAGTGTACTAACTATGCTCTGTTAAAATCAGTGGCAGTAAGATCAGGCACAGTTAACACTGCCATGTGCCACAGAGAAAGGCTGCTTGGGGGCCCCATTAACATTTTTCTATGGGGCCCCACGATCTGATCTCTCTGTGCCCTATTATGTATACTAGAAAAGAATGCACTTAATTTAGAATAATGTGTTTAATTTTAGATATATTTCCAATATGTAATATAAAATCACTATGCTGTGTGTGTGTTTATGTGTGTATGTATCTGTATGTATGTATGTGTGTGTATGTATGTGTATATATATATATCTGTATATATATCTGTATATGTGTGTATGTGCGTGTATATATATACACTGAGTGGCCAGATATATACACTGAGTGGCCACATTATTATGACCATCCCATCAGTACTTCGTTGGGCCACGTGATGACTCCACGAGATGACTTTGTTGGGCCACCTCGTGACTCCACGAGATGTTGAAAGGTGATGCGTAGAATCTGACACTGCACTGTTGCCCTTCTGTTGTCTTGTACCGGCTGCGGTGGTCTCAATATACCGCAAGCTGTAGCTCGCAATATATATACACTAGCGTCCTCCCGTGACCCTTAGGAGAACTATGGGGAAAAACACTTAACCCATAGTTCTCTTTTAAATCACAACTGTATATATAGGATTTGTTTTATATTTCTAGTGGTAATATATGATGTGACAGTAATTTTTGCAAGCAAATCAGAAGCTTGCACAAACACAGGTCTAAATAGAGACTTGTAGAAATACCATTTAATCACTGTAATAAAGGAAATGTAACCTTTCCTTTCTCTTGTTTTCTTGAACAGGTGCATTCCAGGATTTGAATGCAGAGGATATTTCAGAGGAAGTAGGGAATATGTGGAGGACAATGTACAAGCTGGCTAAGACATTTACAGACATGCCAGGACCTAGGCGGGTAGCAGAGAGTGTAAAGCTTAAAATTGATAAGTTTAAAGTACATCTTCCTATTATCTCTGTCATCTGTAACCGAGGCATGAAGAGCCGCCACTGGGAACAGGTACAACATCCAATTTGTAATTTACATGCAGCTCAGTCTACCTAATAAACCTTATGCTGACTGTGAACTGTAATATAAATGTTCATTTTAATTGTATATTCAACAATTTGTATATATATATATATATATATGCTGATGCCAGATACCTTATTAGAGCTACACTTTCCAGCATTATTTGAAAAGCTATGAAGCCACAGCGGGGTTGTACACAGGGAACTAACAGATAGGTGGATGTTGACATTAATGGTGTGTTTCACATCAAGTTGATGTCCATAGACAAATATAAGCTTCCCACTGTGAATTGCCATGCAAACTTCAACCACTGGTGACAGGGTTGACCTTCAGGTTCAGACTGAACCTTAATTCGCCCAAATTTGCCTGTTCACGCGACAAGTGAACTAAATTGGGTGTTTGCCCGCCCGCCTGCCCATTAATCCAAACCACACCCCGGGGGAAAGTGCTACATTTACCAGCGGCATTACTACTAAGTACTGGGAAAAATATATTTTACTCTCCCAATTCTTTTTCTTTAACCATTTTGAATGTGGAGCAATTTTTCCCCCACGTGTTAAAATCTGCATTTAAAAAAAAATATATATATATGTATAACCCACAAACAATTTGTATTTTCTAAAAGCAGAAGCACTGTAGAATTAAATGGTGGCAGTTGCAATTTTTTATGCCATACATTATTTGTGAAATCTTTTAGCAAATCAATATTTTTAGGAAAAAATACACTAAAATGTTTTGGTGCACACAAACACAATATAATACCCAATTTATTTGAACCCTGGAAGTGCTGAGAGCACAGACCTGTAAAAATGATTGGGCAACTGATAGTCAGGAGCCAGCTGAAGAAAATGACACTAAACTCACAGCTTCTGTTGCTGTTTATAAATGTCTAGTGGATGTCAAGTGGTTAAAGAAATTGTGGATTTTCAGTGTTGCCCTTTAAGCTTTATTAATAAAAGAAAAAAAAACTTTACACTTTTTTTGTCAAATATATCAAGCAGTCACTATTACTGCTTGATAATTGAATTACTTTTTTAATTGTTGGTTATTATTAGGCTGCTCCAAACCTAGGAGCAGCCAAATATAACCATAGTGACACTGAAATGCTGATTCTGCAGCATGTGAGGATTCAGATGTCACTAAAGACTTCTGATCCTTCTTAGAATGAGCAGAAGTCTGATACAATGTTTCAACATAGAAACATTTTGCTACATGTTTCTATGCCTCAAGGAGCAATAAGCCAGTACACATCAGGACCTGTACAGAGCTGTCAAAACTGTGATAACAGAGCGGTTTATCACTGTCAGGTACTAGATCACTGACAGCGATCAGGTACAGTGTACGTGATCAGTCATTTGGGCACTTCATGATGGGAACGTACAGTGTACATCTCCAGTCATGAGGGGGTTAATCATTCCTCCCTTATCCATTGGAATCCTATTTATTTCCATCTCCCCAAATCCACAGGCAAAAGTACACCCACTTAAATAGGTAGTAAAAACTTTGTATAAATTGCATTAACACCTTTGTATTAACAATCAACAATCACAGCAACAATCCTCCAAACAAGTACAAAGATAAAGTACAAGATAAAGAATTATGTAGCGTAAAACATGTTAATCTTGAAAATTACTGTTTTCCTAATGGCTAGTGTTTATCCATAATTGTTTTTGCTTTGCACACCAATCTATTCTTTGATAAGTATACCATTTTCTTTTCTAGATAAGTGAGATTGTTGGATTTGATATCACTCCAGAACCCAATACATCTCTCATTAATATGCTGGAGTACGGATTGTCCAAATCCATCGATAGGTAAGTGGAGTTTTTGTTTTTGTTGTTTTTAACTGCCTCCGGGCCGGCCGTAGTAGAAAAACGGCCAGCCCGGAGCTCTCTAGATCTGAGCGGGCGTCTCTAGACGTCCGCTCAGACACGCCCCCTCGCGCGCGCCGCTCGGCGCGCGCGATGAAGTGGTTAATGAAAAGAAGCCTCACTGGTTATTTTAAAATATTTGATTTCAATGACACCCACATTCCACCCCATCAATGTTTTAAGGTATATCTATAAGCAAACACTTTTAAAAAAAAATTATTGGTTAGATTTGGGAAGGGTTGAACCCTTTGTAAAGTTTTTATGGCTGCCTTTCTCCATATTGGGGAGATTCACCCACTATTATTCCTGGTGACTATTGTCACTGAGAAAGAAAGCGAGGTGAAAATCCAAAGATTAGAGTAGTCTCCTAAACTAGTAGTCTTCCAACCTCTTCTGGGGCCAACTGTTTAACAGAAGACTTCCCCTCCCTTTAGGGGATTTCCTCTAGGGTCTTGTTGCATCTGTGGGACAAGAATTACAGTTAAATTTCCTCACTAATACACAGAGAGCAAAAAATAAACTGCAGGATTTTAACCCTTTCCTATGCTAGCTAATAAACTTTAAAAACAATTTTGCCTATACATACTGTTTTGGTTTTATTACTTAAATTGATACTTAGTTTTGATCCCAAAAGCACACAGACTGCAAAGGATGGGTATTATTCTTTCACGCAAAAAAAAGAAAAACATATCTTTACAAACCAGCCAATAGCTAATTATTTCTTCCCATTCTGTTTCATTCATTGTAATTTAGGGGGTTATTAACTACGGAGGCTTCATTAATGAATGGTAACCCTGACCTCAGCGGTTACTGGCATTCCACAGCCCCAAATATCTGCTCACATATAGTGTACGTGAGCAGTCATTTGGGCACTTAGTGATGGGGATGTACAGTGTACGTCTCCCTTCACTAAGGAGTTAAAGGACTTTTTCACAAGGGGGAGGGGGGGCGGCATCTGGATAGCCAACAGAATGACCTAACTGAAAGCTGCAGCTGAGCATTCAGCTATTCACTCTCTGCTGTTTGGCCCCTTGGAGAATAGGGGTAAACAGCTGGGAATGAACTTCATGTTGACCACATTTCACATCAGCACCACAGGATTCGCATATTTGCCCTTTAATAACCACCACTATAGAAAGCAGCTCCGTTAACAGTCAGGGAGCTGAACAACCTATAAAAACAGAAAATGACAGGGCGCCTGCCCTAGTGTAAAATAATTTATTAAAATATGTAAAATATATATAAGCGATTGTATGATACATCATCATAGATGATAGTTTTTTATATATATGAATTAATATCTATGAATTTATCTATGAAGTATGTGTATATTAATATCTAGTCAATATTAGACAACTATGAGAAAGAGAGCCCATGATTCATATTCTAAATAAATGCACAAACATGCACATATATGAATCTGAAATGACCTAGAATTGTATGATTAGTTTAACGTAATATTACTATATGATTAGCACTAAACATTTCTACACTTCTAGTAAATATTAGATTTAAATTCAATATCAAAAGGGAGGATAAATTAGACCACTTCATAAAACACAACCACATAAAAACGTATATATTAAATATGATATAAATGTGTGTGATTAACCTAAAAATATTAATATTATATATACTAATATTACATACATGAATTGAATCCCAAAATCATGTAAATCATCATGAATAAAATACTATTTAGACCACAGAGACCAATTTGATGCCTTCATTGATACCCCCTGGAGTTAGACTGTTCAACGAATATATCCAAAAGGCCTCTCTGTTACACAGTTTTTTTTAAACCTAGTGCCTTCATCACTCATCATTGGGATCCCTTCAATGCAAAAAACCTTTAGCCCTTCCGGATTGGACTTATGTTTTACCAAATCTTTTTTTATTGAGGATATTCCTTTTATGTTCCCCAAAGCGGATTCTTATAGTTCTTGAAGTCTGGCCTTTATAAAGTTTCCCACAAGGGCAAATGATACCATAAATTGCATAGTGTGCAAATGGGAATTGCCAGCAGAGGGTTTTAAATGAGTCTTAGAAATAATTCTCCCTTCTGAATTGGCATCCAATTCTAAATCTAAAAACACTAAAGAGGACTCATCCACCACATGCGTAAATGAGAGATTGAAAGGATTATCACTGCAATAGTCCACAAATGCCTGAAGTTCTTCCCTGGAGCCATCCCAAATGATGATAATATCATCTATATAACGAGCGAAGAGCACCAGGTTTGCCCCCTATGGATTGTTATATGGATATGTATTGGTGCTCACAAAGGCACATAAACAGGTTTGCGTAACTTTAGCTTTTAGCATACAGCAGTCGGGATGGAGAGACGTACTGATGTGTGAGTACGATTCATACTATTAACTATCACTTAAATAAACAATTTTACACTAGGGCAGTCGCCCTGTCATTTTCTGTGTTTTTTTTAGATGGGAATGAACTGCTCAATATTCGCTTCAGCCTATCCAAATGTTGCATCAACTGAGGTGAACGGGCTTTTTCCTTCGGTTTGGCCGTGCTGAGGCTGTTCGGCTGAGCCAAAGGGAGGTGAAGCAAGCCGAATGCAGCCAATATACGACTGAAAATAGCCGTACAGGGCTGCGGTGAATAGGCTTCGGCTCTCTTCGGTTTGGTTATTCATTCAGCTGCCTTCGGCAGCTTAGTGAATAGCCCCCCTAGTCTTTGGTATAAAAGTTATTTTTATTATGGCATTTGTTCATTAGCTCAGACAGAATAAACAGTGATGCTGACAGGCAAAAGCTACAGCTGCCAGTATAGTAGACTACTTTGTACTTCTACAGTATATGAAATTTAAATGGGGGGGGGGGTAAGTTATGTTATTTATGAGTAAATTATGATTTGCGTTGCAGTCCAGCTATATAGATAAGCAGTGAGAACATTCCTTTGCTACTCTTGCAGTTGTGAATAGTTTTAAAACCATGCGAAAGTTTAGATAAATGGCATATGAAATTGTAATGGTCAGATTTGATTGGACTACGTAGTGGGCGTAAATTACAACATTATATAATATGACATCCCAAGAATTATAGTAGGTCTGTCTCACATGTGCAGCAATCCCCCAGAAAGGAGATTATCCAATATTATTACTATAGCCCAATACCTATGGGGATATGCGATGGGATGGAGAAGTAAAGTACAGCCAGAAATAGAATGGTTTGGGTTATGAATATCACAGGAATCCGGTGGTGGTTCTCAGGAGAGCCGTTTATAAAGTATTCAGCCTAGTATGCCTAGGTTATAAATCCAAAGGAGCAAACAAATAAGGTTGTATGTCTAGCTGATAAATAGGATACTTAACAATCCAACAGTTTCCTTATATCAGGAAACATATAATTTATAAACCATTGGGGATTGGTGAGGTTGCCAGTGGCTCAAGGGGATGAGGAAAGTTATTTTCATATGTCAGCTTGCCCAGTGTTGCCTGAGATGGAGTCCAAGTCTGGCTACATATTAGAGAGATGGGACAGATAGTTTAAGTCCCTATATATGGGTGTTGTGCTGCCTGACTCAAGTGGTCAGCAAGCCGCCAATATCAGATGAGTCGGGTTGTGCTGTCATTGTGATTTCCAACTTTAACAGAGGTGTAAGAGGAATAGAAAATAGTGATGAATTATACTTATCCTTCAGCAGAACATTGGAATCATTGACTCTGTAGGCTTATCAGGGCTTGAGAACTGTGGTTAGGCAGGCTGGGATCTATGGGGTTAAATAGCACAACTACCTCACTGTTCATGATCTCTTCATGCCAATAATAAACTATTCCTGCTTAAGTGAAGGGCTTATATAGCTTTAAAACATATCATGTGTCTGGAATCGAGGCAGTGGTCCTCAGTAAGCAGTCAACAAGCACTAGAGGGTTCACCTTGTGCAATTTTCTTCATACCTTGGATTCACAACATATACATTATAATGTAGTTGTTTTATCAGTTTGTACCATTTGAAAGCAACATGTTATTTGTTAGAATTACCTTTTTAGGCCAAGTTCAGCCAGAAGCTGTATTTCAGTTTTGTATCTACTGGTTTATATCTCTCATGGCCTCTAATGGTGAGATTTTTCTGTAGTATTTAATTGCCAATGGTCAAAGTCATTAAAAAGGTGTCAGTTAGGTCTAAACTCTGCATCCATTTACAGTTTCTGTAAGGTAGAATGTAGGAGGAGAGATCTATAAGATGTATCCAACATAAAACATTTATTTGGTTTTTTAAAAATACTATTCAGCAGGACATCTTACCTGTCTGTAAAGTAAGTCTCTCTGCTCTTGTGTAAAAGGTAGACTTATGCATCTTCGTATAGATGGGCTTTAGCATGAGTTCTAGAGCATAGATTTGTATCTCCAGCATAAACTGGGCACGTTTTAATAATCTTATATCATTTGTGATTTATAGGATGGAGCTAATTGGGGCTGCAGCAAGCAAAGAATACTCTTTAGAAAAAGCAATGGGAAAGATGAAGTCTGAGTGGTCCAATATGAGTTTTAACTTCATCCGATATCGAGACACGGTATGTAATTTGAGATATTCAGCACCAGAGAGATATCTGTGCTGAATACAGGCCAGTTGTAAGTAAGATTTTTTTGGATGGTAACATATTGTATTCTTAAAATATGTATCCCTACATCTTTTTCAGCTATATACATTTTACACAAAAATATTTTCACTAAGCATTGTGAGTTTAAAAGCTGTTGTAAATGTCAACTAGTCAGACTTCATGTTACATCTCTCCTTTTATCTATATTTTTCATAAATAAGTAACTTTTTTTAAGCTATTGTGCTTTTAAATATAATATACCAGTATATATTGTGTCCTTTAAAAATATTATTTTTTTATAGTAAAATTATTTAATACCGTAGATAAATAAACACACAATCTTTTTATCGTATGTGGCAATACAGTCATGCAGAGATTTCACTGTGACCGTTGCTTTAGCTTTTTACTTGAAGGTATATTTCTTAGTTCTCCACTTATGCTAGTGCAATATTCTCCACCTACCGCACTGGACTTTAAAGCAGATCTTGCAGTAAAAATGCATCATCTGCTTTATATATTAGGGTCCCCATACTCATCATTAATAGCAGCATAATGTAGGAAACCTGTAGGAAAAAAATTATTAAATATACTTACCCTTTCCCCCTGCTTTTACTCATGCTGGCTAGATGAGTGTGACAACATCATCCAGCTGAAAAGATCATTGGGAGATGTCTAGTACCCAAAATCTCACACAAAAATGCCCTTGTGCTGGGTTGTACTCTCACAAGATTTTAGGTATCAGCAGTGGTGTATTTAGGTTTGGGACTGCCCTAGGCAAGACGATACTCAAACAGCCAAAGATCTTTTATATGACAAATTGTTGATAGATACTGTAGATCTTTTGAAAGTCCAGCATGCATTGCACTGGCCTATTGCCAGCTTAAAATATACTTTAAAAAAAATTACAGCCTTGTACTGGAAAATGTCTAATATCGAGAAATCTAACATATACATACTTGTTTACCCAGAAACAGCGCTATGGGGTCTATTCACGAAGCTGCCGAAGGATCTAGCCGTAGCTTCGGCCGATCCTTCGGCTAGCTTCGATCCCTAGGACTCCTTCGGTTCAGTACAGCTCCCGAACGTGGCCGAGTGGCTCAGTCGAGCCGAACGCATATATCTCACTGCTGTTCGGGCTAATCTTAAAAATGCCGAACAGCAGAGAGTGAATAGCCGAATGCTGCTGAGCGGCATTCGGCTCGGCTGTTCAGCTCGGTCCCTCAGAGGGACTGAGCAGACCAGAAAAAGAGTATAAAAAATTCAAAAAAAGTAAATAGAAAACGATTGTGCGGAGCTAGCAGTGACAGCTAGCTCCGCCCAATAGTTTCCTATTGTCCGACGGCTCTGTTTTTCTTTATTCTGACACGAGCGATGTCAGAATAGAAAAAAAAACGAATTTTCCCATTGAAAAGCACTGGTACATTACTATTGGCTATTTCAATTTTGCAATAGCCAATAGTAAACTAGCATTGTACCGGCCCTCTGCTGCAGTTCTCCATCAGGTCAATCAGCAGAGGGCGGGTACAATTCTAGTTTACTATTGGCTATTGCAAATTGAAATAGCCAATTAGTAATGTAGCAATGTATTTCAATGGGAAATGTATTTTTTGATTTTATTTCTATTCTGACATCGCTCTGTGTCAGAATAAAGAAAAAAAAGACACAGCAGTGTTTCTCTCCTGGGCGGCCGGAAGCGGGAGGCTCCCAGAGTGCCCGGGAGAGTTTTTTTTTTGACGGCTGCAGAGCCACCGGACAATAGCAAACTAATGGGGCGGAGCTAGCTGTCACTGCTAGCTCCGCACAATTGTTTTCTATTTACTTTTTTTTACTTTTTAAACTATTTTTCTGTTCTGCTCGGTCCCCTTCACTTCAGGTCGGTCATTCACTCGGCTGCCTACGGCAGCTTAGTGATTAGACCCCCATGTGTATCAAAATCTACACATTTTTGTAGTCAGATTATTAGGAAAAATAGTTAATATATATATATATATATTTAGGGTATTTAAAAAAGGCATTGTATGCGCTATAATAATTTTGATACGCAAAGTGGTTAAAAAGTTGGTGTTGAGTAAAGCAGTGCCAGAACTTCTACGTGTGGTCTGGTCACTGTTGCTTTGATTACCCTGGACATGAAAAAGAAAAAGATGCTCTTTTCCCAGGTAAAATCACCAACAGTTATGGCCTTTTTATTTACATCCATCTTATTTGGTTTAATTTTAATGTTGTTTTCATAATAAAGACTCTTTACAAACCTCTTTCTCTCCCTGAAAAACATACATCTTATAAAAAATGGTATTGAGAGCATTCCTAATTTCAGGCAATTTGAAGCACAACCAATCTGTTTGTTTTTTGTATGCTCACGCTAATGTATAATGCCTTTGATCCCTGATAGTAAGAGGAATTAAATGCACTGGGCTTTGTTTAGCAAGCTCCAGAACACATGGCTATAGCAAAAAGGACACAGTCACATGCAAGGCATGAATGCTGCACTAGAATTGCATAAGTATTTGGAGAAACACATTCAAAGTGCAATATGTGAATAAGCACTTGTAAAACTGATTTTTTAAAACTAAAAGCCAACACCATGTCGTATTTAGGGTTCATTCACACCACAATCAGACCTAAAAACAAGTCGTCAGAGGTCTATTTACTTGCTTTTTTATACTCCGTTGGCAGTGGTGTGAACTATTCCCATTCACACCCATACATTTTTGGGTTCCCTTCCATTGGCATCCTTTAAAAAATGGATGACAACCGATCTAGTGTGAATTAGGCCTAAGACCTATGCTATACAAAGACCGAATGTGAGTGTTGGGTACCTGTCTTCAGGGATTTGACATTTTTGCATTCCATAAGCCTTTTATAAAGGTTACAGGAACAATTCCTTATAGAATTCTGACAACTATTAGTAAAATTCAACCTGACCACAAGTGATAATTCCAACATATTTTCTTAAAAACGGTAAGCATTTCAAAGAGATACATTAGACTTTTTCAATATACAGTCCAAGGGGCATAGTCAGTAATCAGTCAAAATGAATTACCTATAGTCAGGTCAGGGCAAGGTAGGTTCTTCTTGGTGGATAGTGGCTACTATACTTTGTTACTATGTTACTTGAAACATTTATTGAATAAAGACAATACCTTATTACAAGGATAATATTGTCTATTTTTAAATTGCATTGGACTGAAAATAATGTTTAAAAAGACAAGTATTTGTATCCTGGGGTGTTAGATTTGAGAATTGAATATTAGGGGTCTATTTATCCAAAATTCTCCAAAAAGTCTTTGGTTAACTTTACATACTGTATATCAAGGTAAATTGGTGGACATTCACTTAACATTTACCCAACACTCGCCCAGTGAAAGTTACATTTCTGGGCATTCAGCAACATCTGTTCTTCAAAAGGAAAAGATCTATACTGTAACATTGCCCCTATTTAAGAAAAGGGTGACTGTTACCTATCCTGTACATACACCTGATATTTCCCCAAGCTGCTCTTAACTAAATTTTTGCATAGTTGAACTGTCAGATCATTGCATTTTCCAAATACATTTTTATTGAAGTAAAAACAACAAGTACAAAAAAGGTAAAGAAATGGAAGGGCAATTACAAGGATGCATAACTGCAAAACAAACAAAGGTACAGCGTAAGTACATCATAGAGTGCAGGTAACAGAGTAATTGGGGAGAGTTAGTAGTTGTATCATATCAAAGGCCCTCCAGATCTATGAAAGACTAATATGCTTCCTGAGTCGTCCAAATCAAAAATGGAGAGATTAGAAGGGAACGTTGATTGCTGTACTTCTATTGCAAGAGGACACAGGACTTATGGAGGTGAGAAAAGCGGAGCCAGGGTATGCCTTGATTAAGGCGGAAAACAAGCACTCCAGGGTAATAGGCAAAGAGTAGGATATGAGTGAAATGATGTAGGTAGTAGTGAATAGAAAGGAGAAGAAGAGCGAGGAAAAAAGGAGAGAAGAGTCCAGGGTGTGCATGGAGGGAAGGGCTAGCTATAGGGGATTGGGGGGGTGTAAAAAGGTCTCTAAAGGGTAAAAAGGCAAAGGTGCAGGTCTGAGGACATGTACTTCTCCATCGACGGCAGCCATATTTTTTTCAAATTTAGGCATGGCATTGTTTAAATTGGCAGTCCTCTTCTCCTGTGACATAATCCAGTGAACATGGCGTTTAACTTACAAACGCTGAGGGAGGTAGATTTCCACGATTTGGCTATTTCTCTTTTTGCAGCTGTAAGAATGTGGAGAGAGAGTTTGAAGGAGGCATAGGGAAGGCCCTTGGGTTTACAGTTAAGAAGAGCTAGAGACGGGTCTTTGGGGATAAACTTGTGCAATAGAGCAGAGAGGAGTTTAAAAATATGGTCCCAAAACTTCGCAGCAATCAGGCTCTGCCACAGATCATTGCATTTTCTACTGAAAAGGGATTCATGTGCACATTTTATTTCCCTTCAATCAGTTTCCCAAATTCCAGATAAATCTGAGGAAGTCCCACCATGCACTGACACTATTAGATTATCTGCACTTAGATGGGTGTAGAAACCACTGTATAGTTTGTTTTATTTTGCACAATTGTATGTATTAAGGAACTGTGGATACTTAGCGCTGTGCATCAATTATTTTGTAGCACTTGAAAGCGTTTATGCTTTTAGCATAGCAGCTTTATATCTGTTTAACTAGGAGTATCCAGAGCGTGGAATAGCTTTATACCATTAGTTAATCATAACTCCAAGTAATGATCTTTTGTATTGAATTCCATTAAAAGTATGATTTGAATATTGCATGCTGTATTTCAGATTAATATAAAAGCTTCTAGTGAAGTAGATTTGATAATGCCAACAGGGATTCTTCTAAATTGTATTTTCTCCCTCTCTGTTCAGACAATAATAGTTGGTGTGAAAGTTTCTAAATCTATATTATATATAACTATTTTTTCTGCACGTAATATCTCAGTAATTGCATATTCAATTAAATTTACCAGACTTTCTAGAGCTGATGTTCTAACAAACCCATTAATAGTTGAAAAATAAACTTTTCCAAACCTTTAGCAATCAAAACATTGGTGGCCAGACCAAAGCTTGATGCTTTGATACGTTTAGGGCCCTTATTTAATGATTTGTTTTTTAAAATATCCTCAATGTTTTTTTTTAATATATAGCAAAAATACCCTCATTTTTTTTAATAAAAAAAAGAGAATTGGGGCAAAATGTTACAAAAAGCTGTTTTAGTGTGTTTAATGCCTAAAATATTTTTTATAATTTCCTATTTATATTTAAGTACAAAGATCCCAAATATGTGTAGATGTTTATGAATAGGCCAGCACTGTATGGCCAATAAACAGGGTATTGATTAAAACAAACTTGCAGCCTATAATGCTGTGACTTAAAGCCCAGTTCAACCTTTGCAAAGGTATTTAAAAAAAAAATATGCCAGCAATGCACACCGAATTTACATGAAGCAGGCCGATGCAGCTGATTTATATGAACACAGAAATTTCAATTTTTCGTTAGCTTTCCTCTTCATATCTGCATGGAAAGTTCTGCCTCTGTGCTGTGCAAGAAATGTGTGTATACCTTCCTCCCCTCCGAACAGTGTATTGTGTGTAAAAGCAGAGCTTGCGTTTACCGATCATGGTAAAATGAGTGACAGGGAGGTGGGCAGCAAATTGCAGTCTGACACCCTGGTTCCAGTGGGGAAGATTTCCCCAGTGGGGAAGATTTTTAATTTTTTGGGCTTCAGGCCTAATAAAATCTTCATTAAAAAAATGAAGAGAGCCTGCAATGTGAATCATGAAAATGTGCACATGTATTCATCATGACTGCAGACTTGAGCAAACTCGATCCAAAAGGCATGTCCCATCCTGTGGATTACCATATACAGGGACATCTACCACTCCGGGAGAAGAGGCTGAACCCGAGATGGGTAATTACCATGAAAAAAAAAAATGCAGAGGAAAAAAAAAAAACTGTTAGGTGTCCTGAGCGAGGACAAAAAAAGAACACATATCTCCTCTAATTATGTAATTTACACAAAACCATCAAGTATGAGAATATGAATAAATACATAAAAAGTAATAGAGTAAACCCAAAAATGTATGTAAAAATGTAGTGCAAAAAAGTGCAGTGATATGCAATAAAGTGCTTTGAAGATGACATTTTGAAGTGTGTTAAACAACAAAAGCACTAAGATCGGGGCGTATTTATAAAGCAGTAAATTTGTCACATCAGCCAGATAGTAGAAAAATAGCAAAAACAAGGTTTGGGATAAATGATTATGTGGATAGTATGGCATGGGTTGGAGCAGCTTACAAAACACGATTCCTCATGGTAGTACTGAGCAGCACTTTAAAATATGTACACCAGTGCACACAGTCATCTCTGTGCTCCTGTAATGCTTGGAACTGCTTGCAACCCCTTGTAACTGACAATGAGAAAGGGTGGGTACTGAGGGGGGAGGATAGTAATAATTATTCACCGATACCAGTTTTTCGGTATCAAGTACCAATATTTATCCTTCGGAACTCGCGGATTCTGAGTACCGATACCGGTACTTCCACTAGCATGGAGCCGACTTCCCGGGCAATCAGGAAGCTTCTTGATTGCCCGGGATGCCGACTCCATGATGTTTGGCTGGCTCGATACTGATTGGCCGGGAAGCCGGCTTTCCAGCCTATCAGCATCGAGCCGCTTTCCCGGCCAATCTGGGAGAGGGTTCTCCCAGATTCATTACCCACCGCCCCGCTTCCTGATTGGCCGGGAAGCTTGCTCCATGTTCACTCACAGCACAACCGGTCAGAGGAAATCTCCCTCCGACCGAAAGGTCCGGTATCGTGGAAGGTATCTTAGCATTTTTAAGAAAGAACAATAACAAAGACGCTGCAAACACGCTAAGAAGTTCTAAAGAAAACATGACAGCAGTAAATCCAAACACCATAATAAGGACTGAAAATATAATACTGAAATATGTATAAGACCAGATATCTAATCCAAAAATATAAGAAGTGGCATGAAGGATGGCTTTAAAATAACCCTCAAAACCCAATCCCCACTTGAGATGTTATGATTTGAATGAGTAAGACCCCTGACCATTTTAATTTGCAGTTGATCATGAAATAGATGAAAATATTTTAGCGGTTTTGCTTATGATTGGCTAGAAAATTAGTACATTAAAACAATTTGTTGTTTTGCAGAGCACAAGCATCCTATCAGCTGTTGATGACATTCAGTTACTGCTTGATGATCACATTATTAAAACACAAACAATGTGTGGTTCTCCATTCATTAAGCCAATTGAAAATGAAGCCAGGGTAAGTGAAAATTTCAACAATAATTACCCCATGTATTACCATTTGCAAATTAATTGTTCTAAAAAGGGAACTGCACATTGAGTACGCAACTCATTTTGATGCATGTATAGAAAGTATTATACTATACTATACATATACTCAAAAGAGAAGAATTTCATTTATACCTCGCATCTGTATGTAGAAACCAGCTAAAAAGCCTGTGAAAGTTTACTTTTTCAGCTTAAAAAAAAATCACTTACTTTATTATTATACCTATGATATTAAAGGTGCATTGGTAGATTTGCCAGGAGTGCAAGAAAAGCAGTCACACAGGGGACTTTTAAAAACACACAGGGAAGTGACCCAGCTCACCTGAGGCCGGAGCAGCAGTGCTGTGAATGAAAGCCAGGAGGTTGAATGTGCCTGTATTTCTGGGATAAAGAACCCCTGCGAGGGTAATTACATCGTTTTGTGAATGTTCATTTAATAAAAGTGGGCAAGGAAGCCCTTAAAAGAAGTCATAAGCGAGTGGATGCGTCCTTAATGCGCTACCATTGGAAGCTGAATCTCACAATATATATATATATATATAGAGAGGGAGAGAGAGAGAGAGTCTTTAGCAAAAAATTTCAGAAGTAACACTACTAACTATTTTAACTAATTTGTTTAGTTTTAAGTAGTACCCCAGCTAAAACAATTAATAAAAATAAAAACCCATGAAAAGATAAAATAAAAACAAAAGATTTCCCCACTGTACTTCTTTTCCGTCAATATATGTCCTTAGTTTTCCAGATTATATGGTTGCCATCATCATTTAACTCCCTTCTTCTAACCCCCGACTGTCATGGGCCTCCAGCTTGTGATTGGACAGTGAAGAAGAAGGAGCACAGTGTTGCTTCCTCCCTCTATTAGCAATCTTCTTGTCAGCACATGTACTATTTAGCTCCTTGTGCTGCTTCTTTCTTCCCTGAGTTTGTCTATACAGGGACTGGAAGAAGTTGATACCAAATGCAGGTACTTACACTGTTTGCATTTACAAAATAAGTGTTAACATTATACCTAATTGTATTATTTAGCATATGTAGTAGCTCACAGTCATTAAGTCAACTGTAGAGCCTGAATCACATCAAAGTGTGCTCAATGAGAATATGAGTCAAGCTGTCCAAAAGTTAAAGGTGAACCAGAAATGAGTCCTTCACTATGATAATGATCTGAAGCACATCAACAAATCCACCAAGTAATGGCTCAAACAGAAGGAATTTGAGGGTCATGGACAGCCCTAGTCAAAGCCATTGAAATTTTGTAGGGGATTTTGAAATGGGCAATTGAACAAGGAAACCCACAAACACCTTGCAACTGAAGACATTTTAGTTACATAGTTAATAATGCTGAAAAATAGACACAGATCTATCAAGTTCAACTTGTGTGTGTGTGTGTTTTATGTGTTTGATCCAGAGGAAGGCAAAACACAACCCCAACAAGCATAGGGCAATTTTCTGTGAGAGGGAAAAACAATCCTTCCTGAACCCATAATGGTGATTGAATAAATCCTTGGCTCCACCCCATATCGAGAATAAACCTAATTTTGTCCATTCTTAAAGTGTGACTACTTTTCTTCAGGGACCTTAGACTGAACACATTATTACAGTTTCTGTAATCACCTTTGACATATTTATACATTGTGACACATATCCCTTCTTAAAGCAGATGGAGAAGTGGTCAAACATTTTGCATGATGTCATAGACTGGTGGGCAGTTATACAAAATGCCTACAAGAAGTCATTCTACAGGAGGCAGCTTTTGATGTCTAGAATGTACTTGCGTTTTTAACAGTACACTATTACATCTACAGTACTGATATTTTGTTGAATAAATGATTGAAAAGGCACAATGTTCTTGTGTTCTTGTTTAAGTATATCACCTTTATCTGTAATGTTTGAATACAAATTTTATTTCGTTTTTCGGGAATCGGTTCCAAAAGTCAATTCGTTCAGCATTCAGATCCAGACAAATCTGAAATATTCGTTAATTTGAGACACGGTAGTATTTACGAACGAATTTTAGTTGCAGAAAAGTGACATTAGATAAAAGAAAATGATATCAGTCAGCAGAAGCAATATATAAAAAAAAGCGTGAAGTTCCCCCCAATTTATACCAGACCCTTTAGGTCTGGTAGGAATATTAGGAGGAACCCCAATGTAAAAACCCCAATGTAAAAAAAAACTGGTGGGGTTCCCCTCAAAAGTCATACCAGACCCTTTTGGTCTGGTGAGAAGTTTAGGGGAACCCCAACACCTAAAATTCCTACCAGACCCTTAATCTGAGCAATGGCCTCGCTCGTCCCACCCTCCCTGCACCATACCAGGCCACATGCCTTCAACATGGGGCAGGTGCTTTTCTAGGGGGGACCACCTGGAAAAGCACCTTATTCCCATGGCAATGAGGACAAGGGCCTCTTCCTCACAACCCTGTCCCAGTGGTTGTGGGGGTCTGTGGGCAGTAGGGCCTATCTGCTTCTGGGTGACCCATTTCATAACTGAGTTAGGGAGATCCAATTTCTACATCCCACCATGAATTCATCAAGGATCAATTAACATACAATGAATTTGATAACATAGTATCCCATCATGTCATAAAAGACATGAAATCAGAAACAACATCCCTTTTAACACAAGAATACCAATAATATCCAAATGAATACATTAAATGATTAACAAATAAATTAACTATAATTATCAACCCACAAATATCAATACAATCCAAAACAATATTTAAAATAAATATATAAATAAATAAATGATCAGATGCATTAAATATAAATCTGATTTCAGCCGTATATCGGCTTGCTTCGCATGGCTTCGGGTCGGCCGAACATGCTTAGCATGTTCGGCAAGGAATCTAGCAATGCATTCCAATGGGCAAAACTATTTATTTTTTTCTATTGCTCCGTGTCAGAAAAAAAATAGAAACTGCAGTGTTTCTCTCCTTGGCGGCCGGGAGCGAGAGACTCCCGGAGCACCAGGGAGAGTTAGCTGTTTGGAGATCAGTGTAGTCTCTTAAGGTTAGAACCCCTATAGTGTTTATGAATTTTGTCAATCCCTATTAGTTTGAGCACCTGGGGTTTTTACTATGGGATAATAGAAAATGTTTAGAGAGACTATGTTTGTCAAAACCCTTTCTGATATGCCAGGCCACTGCTTGGATTAAGGATATGATAGGAATTTTAAAATTCCTACCAGACATTGGGGGTTCCCCCTAACATTGACTTAAAAGGTCTGGTAACAATTGGGGAGGGAAGGTCCACACTTTTTGAGGGTTTTTTTCACGTTTAACAACAAAACTTCATTCGGAATGAAATTCGGAAAGAAATTTGGATGCATTCAAAATTTTTGCTATTGGAAATCCAGATACGTTTGGATTCGTTATTTTTTCATTCTGAAATTCAGATGCATCTAAATGTCCAAATTTCCAAAAATGCTTCTGAATTTCAATTTGGAACTAAACGAATCGCACATGTCTACTGTTTACAGCATATTTATGCTACTTCTTTCTTTGTGGCGGGTGGTAACTATTCTGTTGTCTCTTGCAGGAATGGGAACAGATACTTGTTTTGATCCAAGATATTTTAGATTCCTGGTTAAAGTGTCAGGCTACCTGGCTCTACTTGGAACCTATATTTAGCTCTGAAGACATTATAGCTCAAATGCCAGAAGAAGGACGAAAATTCGGTATTGTGGACAGCACCTGGAAGGACTTAATGTCTGAGGCGGTATGTAAAATGAACTGCTGCTTTAATTGATCAATCTTGTAAATCTAAACAATAAAAAATGTCTAGTTAGATTTATCATTGTATCTTGGATAAAGCTGAAAATAAACCCAGCAGCAATATGTTTCGTCTTTGCAAAACCGCAGAACATAATATCCAGCCAGAGGAGCAGACATACTGTACATCTTGGTATTTATATGTCTTTATTAGTGTCTGTTCATTATATTCTCTTTCATTTATACAAATGTAGAGAGTCAGAAAATGTTTCTGCACTCCTAATAACATTAAATCAAGGACAACAGAAGCAGCCTTAATTCAGTGGAAAAACAACAACTTCTGCAGTGAAAATTGAACAATTTCACTAAAAAGTAAATACAATTTGTGCTGTCCATTGGAGGAGCGAACTTTGTGCAGACCAGTGTTTATGGTGGCAATCCCACAAACCACAATTAGTCTATAATGAGTGGAGGAGAAAAAAGATTGCTATATTAGTACATGGCAACATCACAAATTAAAGCACTGAATTGTATGTTGGTAAATATTGGTGCCAGAAAACAAATACACTGCGCTAGCGTTAAAGAAACACAGTATCCAATTACATTTTAACTATCATTTCTCAGGTCAGGTAGAAAATTAAAGCAAACATCTGGTTAATTGCAGTAGGCAATACAAGCTAAACCATGTACACGCATGGTATAGTTTGTATACAAAACTAAAAATATTTCTTCTGGGAAACACACCTCTGATTAACAAAGATGGGACTAGTGGGCCAGTGCCCAAAGGCAAAAAAAGAAATGGTACTCCATTACCAGTTGGCAGTATTCTGCATTGCTGTATAATGTATTGCTAAAATTTGTAGTCTCTCTACAACTTGAAGTCAGTGGCAGATCTACCAGGCTCACAGCTGCAGCTGGGCCCTGGCGTTGCACCACTGACTCCAAGCTGTAGAGAGACTACAAATCACAGCCCAGACAGGAGGAATTGGGCCTGGTGACCGTTGACATTTCCATAAAAAGGCCCACCAAAATCCTTACACCAGCCCCGTGATTCTCCGAATCCGGCACTGGATGCACCGATACCAGTTTTTCTGTATCGAGTAAGAGTACCGATATTGTTTTTTCCAGTACTTGCCGATGCCTAATACTGATACCAGAAGTCCCATTAAGGAAGCCAGGTGGCGTGTAATGACTCGTCGCCCGGCTTCCCGATTATCCGGTGATGAGGAAGCATGGAGCCGGCTTTCTGTCCAATCAGGAAGCCGGGGGCGGGTAATGACTCACCGACCGGCTTCCTGATTGGCCAGAGTATTCATCCAAATGCTCTGTATCATCACCAATACCAATATTGGTGCTGGTGCACCCCTAATGTTGATGATTAGGTTTTTATGGTATTATATGCATTAAAAACTGTTCTAAAACATGAACATGCAGAAAAGTAGAAAGAGGTTATCAACTTAAAGGAGCACTATTATCATTTTAAGTTCTGTATAGTAATCTGTGTGACCATTCCTCCAGGTGCAAGTTCAGGAAAGGGAAGGCCAGACAGATTGGTGGTGGGAGGAGGGTAGAAAACATAAATTTGAGAAAAAGAATTGTTGTGAGGGTAGGGCATTTGTGGTACGGGATGCCTATTTCAAATATTTGCACTTTAATGAGCAATATAAATTCTGTGATTAGATATGGGGAAAATGGGCATATGACTAGACAAAATATATTTTACCATCCATGTTGCCTTTTTTCTCAGTTTTATGTATATTTTAAAGTAGTAAGCTATTGCTAAGATGCAATATACAGAATTTATTGTGTAGATTTTTATGACCAAAACGTTTTTGTATGTCTTCTGCCAAAACATTTTTCATAGATTGGTAAAGAATGGGAAATAATTAAAGCTTCTGTCAGGGCTTTTACCACTGTCTGTGTGTCCCCTAGAGGGAGTGCCCTGCTCTTTCTGCTCCACTAAAACTGCAACAGCAAATAATAAAATATCTTTCCAATGAAGACAAACAGCAATGAAAAAACACTTCTTTTTTGCAGTAGGAAAGTGTAAGATTAGAGCTTCTGTTACGACTTTATTGCTTTTGTTTTCCGATTGTTTCAGGTAGTGATAAGGTATAAATAAAACAGTAAGTCAGTAAGTCTCACCGCTGGGGGGACACCATGATAAATAGAGTAGAGGGCTTCTTACCTTTCCACAAGTACCCAAAACTAAAAACCAAACGTTTAGACTGAAGCGGGACTTAAAATGTATGATCATCTTAAGCCACAGTACTCTTAAATGTACTTTTCTCATACTACAAATCCTTTTTAATTCCATTCTTATATGTATATCCTGTATAATCTCAGCCTACCTTCCACTGAACTGAGTGAATAATATTCCAAGTGCCAAGTTAGTGAGCTGTTAAATAATGATGGATATGAAAGCTATTCATGAGAAATATGTAATTCCCAGTACAAAATACAACATTTCATTATTATGAGGACTTTATTTTTATCAGGTGAAAGATACCAGAGTGCTTATCGCAACAAAACAGCAGAACATGTTGGAAAGACTTCAGGAATCCAATATCCTCTTGGAAGACATTCAGAAAGGCTTGAATTCCTATTTGGAAAAGAAAAGATTATTTTTCCCAAGGTAAGAGTCTGTTAACAAGAAATCTTAAAGTATTCCATCTCTTGTGTTCAACAAAGAGAGTGAACACTGTTTCCTTTTCCCTATACCTAGTCTAAGCATGTATTCTTATCGAAATCTATTTTGACTAAAATGTGCAACCTTTGTGTTGCATTCTTTCTTTCTTGTCTTTCTGATTTAAAAATCTTGGACTACTTAAATTGAACCTGTCTGTCATTTTGAACCATTAAAAGTTAATGTCCTACCTGAACCTAGCCATACATTAAAATCTGAATGTACAGTCTCTGTATTAATTAATTATCTCATTTAGATTTATCTAGGACTATTCATTGGTAGTGGTTGCCTAAACAATCAATTCTGTTTATATTCAATCAGAGAGACCTTCATATTACATACAGATATTCCAATGTATTGCATGAAGCCAGATTATAGAGATCATTATACTCTTCCAACCCTCAGTCTTTTTATTAACGTTCCCCAGCATGATGCCCTTTGCCATGGATTCCTTAGTAAATGTCCCTTTGAGAGCAAACAGCCAACACTTTTTCTTACTTCTGGCTCTCATATATGGCAGTTCCTGTGAGCTAGAGTTCCCACTAACTATCTGAAACAAATTAAAGTGGATCCTGATTATGTGGGCACTAAATGAGCTCTAACATAGTTATCATATGCACTTAAAAAATTAAAACCTTCAGCGTGCAAGTGAATAATGCAAGCCTTCAGCCTGTAGTGTTCATCTGAAGTTTTATTAGATTTTTGGCACATTTATTAGGGTATTTTCTAAATAAAACAGTACCAAATAAAAGCCTCATATGTCCCTAAAATGTACATGCTAATGCTTCTAGATTTTGGCTACACATCAGTGACTTTGGATTATGAAAGGGTTACCTAGAAAGTATAGAGTTTACCATTGCCAACATCTTTTTTTTAATATTACTAGTTCATGCTTGCTCAAAGGCTTTAGGACATTTGTAAGTCTTTGATGTAGAACAAGTATGCAGATTAGGAGTTCTGATTTTCCTGGTTTGCAGGGTTTTCTTTAAGAGCTGATACCATTAGCAGGCATCCTGTGTGTCTGCTATGCTTTTTTTCACTATATTTCTTTATTGATATCATATAGATTTTTTTTCCTCTCAAATGATGAACTACTGGAAATCTTGTCAGAAACCAAAGACCCTCTTCGAGTGCAGCCTCACTTAAAGAAATGTTTTGAAGGAATCGCCAAACTGGAGTTTACTGATGACTTAGAGATCACTGGAATCATCAGCTCTGAGATGGAAACTGTCCCCTTAGCACAGAAGATCTATCCAGCAAAGGCTAAAGTATTTGTTTAATTTATACATTATGCATAGAACACTTGCTGTTGCTATTAAGCTTGCACATTAGAAGAAGGCACACTGGCAGAAGGAAATGCTTTATTATATTGCTAACACTGAATTTTAGCATGCTAAGGTCTCAGAATTTATCGGTTAAACATACTTACTATTTCTCATGGCATAATGCCTATTGCATTATGCCATGAGTGCCATATAATGTTAGTATAATGCAGGAGCTTTCAGTGTACATTATAAAACATATTTTTTCTGACTTTAGAAATATCAAATCAAATCTAATACTAGCATGCTAAAAGTAGCAATAGAAATGCTTAAGTAAAAAGAAATTATGTTTCATTATAGCTAAGAACATGAAGTACATACTAACAGAGCACATACAGTAAATGTGGCGCAATACAATTTTAGTAATGTACATATACGCTTTTTCCAAGAATGGATAGCAGTGATACATGGGACCAGTGTAAGCTATGACTCCACAAATAACGTTTAGCTCTGGGTAGTGGTTTGTGTGAATGGACTAATTTCCTGTGTCCCTGTTTAAGTAATAGGTAATAGGAGAGATAAACTAAGTGAAACATTTACAGTAGTACTTTTATTTTATATTTCCTTGTCTGACCTGCTCTAAAGTAAAACTGGAAGCACAGCTGAAAGGGTGTGAGTATGCAGGGGTCAGCATAGAGGAGTCATAAAACTCTGCAGTGCAAGTAGCTTAGAATCAACTTTGCTTTCTTTGCGGGTTCCTGATCTGTTGACTGTAGCTCAGTGGTAATTCTTTATATGCAGCAGATTGCATACTCCCTTCATTAGTGGATTGTGGTTTTATTTTCTTGCCTAATATTCATGTGAAATGGTTGATTAAAAAATGTGGAGCCTTATTGCTCGAGTTACAAAATCTTGTGACTCCTCTTAGCTGCCCCCAGCCAGCTAGTTCCGCTCGTGTGTTTCTAAATGTCTAATAAAGGTCAGACAAGGCGAAAAGAAAAAGAAAGATGCCTCTCGCCTATTAAGCCTGATATTGGGCCACAATGTTTAAAGGAGAACTATGAGGTGAGTGATTTTCATTCAACCTCATAGTTCGAGCCGACGTGTGACAATTAAACTGTCACGCGTCGGCTCAATAGATCGGGAAGTGAGCGAACACATACCGTCGCTCGCTCACTTCTTGATCATGTCCCTGCAGAGAGCTGTGCCTGTCACTCACGGCTCCCTGCAGGGATTCCCCCCTCCTAGCTCTGATCCTCCAGCGCTGACTGGCGGAACGGATGCGGGAGGGGGCAGGCACAGCTGGCTCTGCCTTTAGATAGGCAGAGCCCACTGTCAATCACACAGCTGGGTGGATCTCAATAGTAATGTCGGGATCCGTCCTGGCTGCGGCGGTCTCAGTATACCGCAAGCTGTAGCTCACGATATACTGAGCTTTGGGTCACGGGAGGACGCTAGTTTATGTCCTTCCATGACCCTTAGGAGAATTATGGGGAAAAGCACTGACCAAAAACCATTGTGCAAAACAATCCAATAGACAATATAGAATTATACTATAGTATTTCCTCTGTAGTGACTGAGGTGAAGCTCTGCTGACTTCCATCATCCAATTATGTGCAAACAAAATGACTGTTTAACAGTTGACCAATGTTTTGCCACGCGTCCAATCGCACTGCGGGTGGGGGGACGTGACTGCAGTGTCATTGACTTCAATGCACTGCAGCGCCTCCTCCCACCCTAGAACGAAGGGGGAAGTTTAGTGAGCGATTGCTATGCGCTGCAGGAGCTTACCGCTCTGTAACGCACTGCAATTAGTGTGAATGGGCCCTTAGGGGTTGGTTTACTAAAGGCAAATAGGCTGGTCCCCTTTGCAAGGGAAATTTTCTTTAGCTTAGTGAATGTGGTCAAAATTCACTTTGCAAAAAATAATGCAATCATGTGAATGAAAAATAAAAAAAATAGTACTTTTGCTTGCATATGATTGCATGAGCTTCATCTCATTTACTATCCCTCATTCACAAGGAAAATTCTCTTGCAAAGTGAACATACTATTTACCTTTAGTGAATCAACCACTTGAAGTCTTTAGGGGCCTTTCCCATATACAGTATGTGTTGCAGTAATGCATGGTAGAACTCACATTACTGCAATGCACATTAAAGCCGGTGAAACACTGCACACAAAGCCATCAGGCATGGAGCTTCGCATGCAGTGTGTGAGCTAAGTGCAGGCAGATGAATGACAGCACCTTCAGCCAACTGGCTTGCGCATAACAACCGGCTGGACTTCGCATCCTGCCGCGCAGGTTTATAATCTTTCATCTTGGCCACCCGTCTGCTCTACTACGCGTGCAGTGTGTCACAGCCTTAACATGCAAGTGTGTTGCGATGCAGAGCTAATTCATTCTGAATGCCACCCCAATGTCCATATACAGTAACCAAAAATGTACCTGCATTTTAGAACACCACAAACCAAAGATGTAAACACATATTATATTATACTGGTTGAACATGATGGACAGGTAGCTTTTTTTAACCTATGTACCTATACTATATTGTATACATATTTTATTCATAGGTTCCTCGAAAGAAGTGGGTTTTACAATGGCCTGGTCAAGTAGTTATATGTGTTTCTTCAATTTACTGGACCAAAGAGGTATCAGATGCCATTACTGAAGGCACTCTACCAGTAAGTGAAATCCTATGGATTATATGCATTCACATTCAGTGTTCAGTGGCAAATATTTTGTAAGAAAAAAATATACATATACAAATATAATTTGGTTTAAAGATTACGTTATTTTCAGAGAAAATAAAGCTTAGCCTTTCTTAACAAAAGTAAAGCTGGGTATATACTGGCAGATTTTCATACAAAAAGTCTCATCAGAATATTCGATAATGGCTCAGAGACCTGATGAATGTTATTGGAAATGTTTACATCTTATAATTCGATTTTGGAATTAATGGAGTTTCACAAATGAAAACCACATTCACTGTTAGTATTTTGTATATTCAAGAAAAATTTTCCATCCTGCTTTTGTTGTTTTTCTTCACAACAGTCTGAGGACAAGAAGAGTTGGGGCTTAGATGTCTGCACATTTGGCAAGGGTTTGATAGAGGTGCAGGGTCTAAGGAGTGCCTTGTATTCACCAAAACTCCATGCAAGAGGAGATGGGTTTTGCTGCAGGACTTCTCCCAGGTTGCGGCCCACTAACACACCCATGCAGGCACTGGTGACAGAATACTGCAGAGACTACGAGAACACTGGGAAAGCGGGTAGCAGTAACAGAAGTCACGTGTAACACACTTGCAGTGCTGAGGTTTGGGATTCAGTGATACACAGAGGGGAAAGTGCATAATAGCACTGATGTTCAGGATTCATTGGTTCACAGGGGAGAGAGACAGTTGCAACACAGAGGTTCAGGATTCACTGTTTCAGAGGAGACAGAAAGTTGATGCAATGAGCTGCAAGATTCCCAAAGTAGAATGATGCACAAAGGGAGCAGCCTCAAGAGAATGCAGGACACACAGGAGCAGGAATGTTGTAATTCAGAGAGAGTGACCAGGTGCAGTGATGCAGGCGACTCAGACCAACAAACTGAGAAAGAGATTGTAGCTCTTTTTGAGTATGATGTTCACAGAAAAGCAGGAACACATGGAGTCTAATGGGCACAGGAGTACAGGCATGAAAGGAGTCTCTTGAAATAAACACAGAGGTATACTAGGAGCACAAAGGAGTCAAGAGGAGACAGTGGGAACAGAAATACAAGTATAAACAGAGGGTCATAGGAATCCACAGGAAGCAAGATGCAAACTTCAGTAGTAGGGGTACGACAGCTAGTCTACTGACATGTTGCTTTAACATAGAGCAACAGGTGCCCTAGCCCTATAAGGCAAAGGTTGAGAATGGATTAGCGATGGGGCCTGCAGCCTGTGATTGGCTGGAAGCTGAAAACCAAATTAAGAGGGAAAAACCCAGTGCTGGATCATGGCACGGTGAGCCCATCCTACTGTGTCTGAAAAAAGGATAACTGTACTTTTTTTAAAAGTACTTTTCATCTTTTAAAGGATAATTGCAACAGAGATTTGATTAAATGAATGCCAAAACTTTTTTTTTAGTTCCCTCACTTAGGAAGGATTTCCTGTCACTTTCTGTTGTTGTTGTTGGTCAGGAGGTGGAGGTAAATCTCCCCAGTGGGACACAGACAGCAAAAAAAAGCTGAAAGGGGTTATAACCCTCCATTACTCTATTTGAAACAAAACAAAAAGTTCTACTTTATAGAGGAACTTTAGGATTGCATTAGTGCTACCCACGATATAATATGTAGCAATTCATTTGTCCATTGGTATGAGCCTTTCTAAAGCAATAAAAATTGACGAGATTATCTGGCAATCAGTTAGCTCTTTTTCAGGAATCAGGAGTATTAATGTTATAAAAGAGATTGGATTATGTAAAAAAAAATAAAAAATCAAGCAACCCTAAAATGAGAAAAATATGTACGGCTCTGTTGCTGACATCCTTCTGAAAATGTAGTCACCTGTCTTTCTTCAATACTTTCTAAGTCTATATGCAAATCAAGAAAATGAGAGTGATGTCATAACTCCTTATCTGCACACTTGTTTCAGGTCATTGATTTAGAATCCACTAAATCTACTGAATTGCCCTGGCAGCAAAAGAGCTAGCATATTTAGAAAGAGGCAATGGCAGTTTCTATACTTCTGTAGTACGTTTCCTTAAAGCTAAACTCTGAGTTGGAGAAAACGTTACCCTTGCAATGGGTTCTTCCCCACATTGCAAGGGTTAAATGCTTGTTTTAACTAAGGGGATGATGAACAAGGCGAAATCCCTTATTATTTGCACTTGCAGGCTTCCTCCCCTTTGTGAGACCCTTTCTTTAAAGCTGCTCCTCCATTTTGCCCAGTCAGTCGCAGATTTCTAGTGGTCCTGCATTGTACGTGAGAATGCCGAGGGCCTGTCTACATCCCAGGCGCTTTGGACAGCAGAGAAGAGCACCAGCTGCCAAAGGAGCAAAGGATAAGATAAGAAATTTACCTTCTTTATCTTCCCTAATAAAAAACATGCAAAGCATTTAACCCATGCAGTGTGGATGGGGGACCCACTACAAGGGTAGATTTTTCTCAAGCCTAGAGTTTACCTTTAATCGGTAACTGAGAAAATAGTTATGTTTCTTGTTAAATTAGAGTTTACCGTAAAACGACTGTCTGATGATACCAACTGATACACCTCCTAAAGAATATTCTATTATTACTGCTAAATTACTTTTTTTCACTTCAGGGCTTCTTGGACAAAAGTAATAAACAGATCGGTGAGATAGTTGAGCTTGTCAGAGGGAAATTGTCTGGTGGTACCCGTGCTACTTTAGGAGCGCTCACTGTTATTGATGTGCATGGTAAGAGCTGTTGCCAAAATTACTTTGATGAAAAATTGAAGGTATAATGGTTTGCTTTCATATTGGAACAGATCTCAGCTTTTGTAGACATGATTACTTTTCTGTCATTGAAAGAACTGTAGGTTGCTAAGATTGACCTCATAGATGAGTAGTGTATGTGGAGAATGCCTGTAAAGCATATTCTTAGAGGGACTGGTGGAAGATGTGACATTTCTCCACATTGCACAGAAGAGCTATTTGACTGTATAGCTTACTTTACAAATCATTTATATCATGGATGAGTGAGAGATTCCGTAATATTTTGCAAACTGCTAGCTGCCACTTGCTATTTTCAAATAATTGCAAATCTGTATTGCCCTATAATTGAACAATCATGACCAATTTCAGAATCTTTCATTGCAAGAATTGACATACTGTCATGCCATTGCTGACCACTTCTTTGACAATGCTAGTTTCCTGGCTGTCATGCTGATTCTTGTTTTCAAAGTTTTTATTGGTTTTCAGTACTTATACAGTTCCACTCACAGACCGCAATATCCTTATATAAACATATAATATATGTATCCTAAACAAGCATTATATCACAATCAATGGTCCTTCAACGGCAACAGGGCTAAAGAATGCTTACCTCTGTCTAATGTGTTAATATAATACCAAAGCCCCCCGCAACATGATTCTAAACCCTCATCATACCTGCTATAGAATGGGGGGTCGAATAAATTCAATTTTCTCTCTTGCCATTGTAAGAACCGCTGTTAGTCACCCAATCTATGGGTATTGGATCCCTCTGAATGGGTCGTACAAGGCTCCCAACAAGAAGGGGAGCAACTGAAAACACAGTTTCAGTAAGAAATTTCATGCTGATTCTTGATTTCAATGTTCTCTGAGTGGAACCCAGAAGAGTAGAGATAAAGAATTCTGAAAATCTTCTGGCACTCATTTACAGCTGACTGTTCTAGGGGTTCTGACTCAAATGTATTGAAGCCAACTAAAATTTTCACAAGAAACCCAGCAATGTCAGACCCTAAACTTTTCTCATGGCAGTTATTTTAAGGGGCATATTTATAATGGATCTGACATTCAGCAAACATTTACTGCAGGTGAATATTTCAGGTGCATGTGTTTTAAATGACAGGGATCGATTTTCCACCTGTATATGTTTGGTTAACATTTACTGCTTTATAAATTTGCCCCTAAGTGCAAAATTGCATATATCCTAAAGCGTAGATGCATTTCCTAATTTAAATAGATCAAATTATGGAAACTACCATCTTGTTTAGGATTACTGGATTCGCCAAAGTTAATTCATATGCATACTTACATCAGTCATGTAAGGATGCTTATACTATACCTAAGTGGACCACTCAGGTTCCTATAAGGTTCCTATCAGTAGAACTGTAGAACTGTAGTAGCTGGTGCTACAGCAATCTTGCGAGTCCTGTATGGCACTGTGCTGAGCAGCTTCCGCTTTATCTAAAAACACAGGGTCGTTCGCTCTGCACAGCAGCCTTTCAAAGAATGCTTTGTATTTTTACCAATGAATACAAAGTGACTGATTGGATGAGGGATACCGACACCATCATTCACCACTTGTCCAATCAGTGAACGCCTTGTATTCAATGATAAAAATACAAGACATTCTCGCAATGGCCACTATGTGAGCAACCCCCTGTGTTTTCAGAGCAGAGGGAAGATGCTTAGCTTAGTGCCATTCAGAACCAAGGAGATGGCTGTAAAGCACTGCAGTAACTCTGGCTACTACAGTTCTTTACAGGATCCATATGTGCCAATCAGGTAAGGTATATGCATACTAACAAGTTGGACAAATGTTAGCATGCATATTACTTTATATGTGGAGTTCGGCTTTAAATAATAAATGTACATTTATCAGTCTGAAATTGATATGCACCTTCTATTAACTGTATATCTCTTGCTACACTGAGCAATGGGAAATTTTCCACAACATCAAAGAAAGACAAGGATGACATTAAAAGGGCTAATCATAAATTCACAAAGGCATGAATTGATTATAATGTAGTTGCAAGAAGAAGGTAGCAATTTTCTGTTTTAGCAATCATGAGCTCAGTAGCACATTAAAAAGGACTTCAAGTATCTTTTTAACACCTTCAGGATTATTTAATATGTCAAGCCTGGTATGTTAAGTGCAATAACTAATAGCAAGCCAGTCAGGGGATAGAAGAGGCAGAGTGTGATTTGATTATGGACCATTGGAAGAACAGAAAAGTTCAGCTAACTATGGTTTGGAGGCAGAAGGGAGGATAATTGTGAATGGAGGGGACAGATGTAGAAGCAGTATCTGATTATGGACAGAAGAGAGGATTGGGAGAGTATTTAGGAACAGAAGCGGTTCATGGACTGCAGAATGAGAGAGAGTGGAGGCAATGAGGGAGCCAGTTGTGGATTGATACAAAGGACCCTGTACAAACTATCATTTATTACTTCTGAGCAGGGGAGGACTGGGCTGGGGCAATTGCCCCCAGGCCAGTAGACAAAAATGTTTGGTTGGTGGCAGGTGTGTGACTAGAAATCAAGGGGCCCCATAGCAAAATTTTGTATAGGGCCCTGTGATTTCTAGATACGCCCCTTGTAGAGTCCACCTGAGATCCCACATAGCCCACCTGAGAGTGACCCTGCAGAGCCCACCATAGACTCTCTATGGTGGGCTCTGCAGGGTGTCAGGTGGGCTGCTGTCGTAGGGCCAGGGGTGCCCCCTTACCTGGTTGTTGGCGGGTATGGTGCGGGTTGTAGGACCCTTGCTGTGGTGTCATGGTGCCCAGCGGCAGGGTTGCGGGTGCACGCGTGGCGTGCACGCGTCTTATTAGCCAATTTGAATGCTAATCATTCCCAGGGAGGGCCTCATTGACACACTTATCTCTGCTCACCATCCCATTGGCTCCCGGGGGTTGGAAGCTTCCTCATTGCTCCAATAACGGGGGAGTTCCTGGACCTTGCCAGGTCTAAATATCATCAAAACAACAGAATTCGTTAAATGTTCAAGAGCAGCTGTTGTTAAAGTGTTTAAAGACTGGACTGTCAGTGGCAAATCTGAACGTGCAAATTGTGGCCGTCAGCGACTAGTCAATGTTAGGGCAGAACGGAGAGTGGCAAGACTGGTACAAGACAACAGAAGGGCAACAGTGCAGTGTCAGATTCCTCGCATAACCTTTCAACATCTCGTGGAGTCACGAGGCGGCCTAACAAAGTCATCTCGTGGAGTCATCTCGTGGCCTAACAAAGTACTGATGGGGGGGTCATAATAATCTGGCCACTCAGTGTATAACAAATATATCCAAATACTGTATTCATAACAACAATGTGCTGAGCAGAAAAAAATTTATAGTTATATAACAGTGAAAATTACAAAAATGCGCTCAAAGATTCCAATATACATAAACAACATAGAAAAAAATCCAAAGTAAGTCAAATAATAAAATCTAATGTGCAAAAGTAACTGAATGTGAAGGAAGACACAGAGGGCAGTCCGCAGAGATGAACTAGACTTCCAGGTGGGGGAGGATGTTGTCACTGAATCTTATCAAACCTTCACCTTCACCCAGTGATTACAGGTAACAAAGGAGTGCTCACCCGGGGTTGTGGACCCACAAAGCAGATCTCAAACCACGTTTCCCTTCTTGTATAGGTGAGGGAAGCATGTATGTATGATAACAGATGGATCCTCTCAAATCAAAGGCACCAGCGTCAGATAAAAGAGAAACGCATGAAGAGGACAATCTGGTTGTCTGCAACGAGGACAATTGAGACATAGGGGTTGATTTACTAACCTTATAAACACGCCACAAACATGTATACACCTCTGTAGTGTGTTCCCTCCCAGCATGATCTATGGGTGGAATCCAAACACCTTTGTAGTGTGTACACACCCAGCAGGTGTGTTGTGCAAAGCCCTGCATGAATTGCAAGGTGATGTTGTGTAAATTAGCTCTATGTTGTGTTGCTTGCGTTGATGAATGCAGGAATGTAAATGCATGAGCTAACCATTTTTGTCTAAACTGTGAAGCAGCATTATATATGCATCATGTGCATGATTTTTCCACATATGGCATTAGTGGAAATATGCTTTTAGAGACTTTTTGGTTGATAAATACGTTTTGCTGTGTGAAAATCACACGCACCTGGTGCGTGCGTGTGTTTAGGTTAGTAAATCACCCCCATAGTATGGGACATAGTATGTAGTATGTACCGTCCAAAAAGCACAATTTATTGAATAAAAACAAGTATTCACAATGAAGCAGATAAAAAACAGAATAGATCAAGGCATCGGGTGATTCCCCCCAATGCACCTGAAAGGATACGATGAAACACCCGTCCATCCGGCTCTACTGATGTGATGACGTCAAATGCTCTGCCCAAAGGAGCATTTGAGTGGAGCATTTGATGGCGGAGCATTTGACGTCATCATCTCAGCTGAGCCGGACGGACAGGAGTTCCATCGTATCCTTTCAGGTGCATTGCGGGGATCACCCGATGCCTTGATCCATTCACTTTTTTTGTCTCTTTTCTCCTCTCCCCTCTGGTGTTATCTACTTTGCATGTGCCCGCACACTTCTTCCTTCACAGCCATTTGGGAGGTGAGAGTACTATGGCTGGTGAGAGTACTTTTTTTTTTAAATTATGGGGCATATATCTACTGCTTGCTAGTAGTAGATATATGCCAAAAAAAGAGATACTTTAATTCTACTTTACAACTCACTGTAGGACTACTGTAAGTATTAAAATAAAACATTTAGTCTTCCACACCTGATTTGAGTTTCCATTTATGTTCATGTTTTTATTGTTTAGAACTTTTTTTACAGTAAGTATAATAAAATGGTAAACTAAAAATGTTAACATAGGTTACTATTTAAAAAAATGTGGTTCTCATTAATAGACTTTTTAGCTGAAAAAGCAATTGTTCAATTTTGCCAAAATGAACAGCTCGTAACTAACCTTGGGGCACCATATTCACAGTATGTGATGAT